AGTAATCCCGTGCCTTGGGAGGCTGAGGTGAGTGGATTGCCTGAGCCCACAGGTTCAAGACCCACCTGGGCAACTTGGCAAGACCTCATCTCTACAATAAATAAAAAATATCAGCCGGGCATGGTAGCACGTGTCTGTAATTCCGGCTACTCGGAAGGCTGAGACAGAAGGATCACCGGAGCCCAGCAGGTCGAGGCTGCAGTGGCCGGGAGCAGCCACTGCACTCCAGTCTGGGCGACAGAGTGAGACTCCAACTCAAAAAAAAAAAAAAAAAAATGACAATGAGACATAATCATGCTTACCCACCGAATATTAAGGAGAGTCATAAAATAAAACTTTATAACTAACAATAGCAAGTGCTGACAATGCTATAGCATGACAGAACCTCTCTCATGTGGCTGCTGGAGTGTTAAGAGGTACAATTACTTTGTTAAACTGTTAGGCAGAATCTATCAAAGCTAAAGATATAAACTGTGCTATAACCCATCAATTCCACTTCCAGGTTTGTACTGCTCAGATCAAGGGCCCATATATACCAAAAGGCATTTATAAAAGCCAGAATTAGAAATAGCCCAAATGTGCATTCAGAGCAGAATGGATAGATAAACTGTGGTAATATTCATAAAACTGGAGAAAAGCAAACTAATGCTACATGTAACAACATGGGTGATCTCACAGACATAATATGAAGTAAAAGATGTGAGACACAGCCGGGTGCGGTGGCTCATGCCTGTAAATCCCAGCACTTTGGGAGGCAGAGACAAGAGGATTGCCTGAGGCCAGGGGTTTGAGACCAGTCTGAGCAACTTAGCGAGACCTCGTTTTTACAGTAAGTCAAAAAATTAGCTGGGCATGTTGGTGCACACCTGTGGTTCCAGCTGCTTGCAAGGCTGAGACAGAAGGAACTCCTGAGCCCAGAAGGTCAAGGTGGCCGTGAGCATACCATTGCACTCCAACCAGGGCAACAGATTGAGACTCTGACTCAAAAATAAAAGTCACACAAAATAATACATATTGCCTTCCTTTTGTATGACGTTTAAAATCAGACAAGACTAATATATGATGAGAGAGATCAGAATAATTGTTACACTTTGGTTAAGCACTCAAGTACTTGGGTAAGCAAGTATAGTCTTGGAGACAACACAAGGCAGCCTTCAGGAGTACAGAAAATGCCTCTTTTTTTTTTTGAGTCGGAGTCTGACTCTGTCGCCCAGGCTGGAGTACAGTGGCACACTCATGACCACCACAGCCTCAACCGGCTGGGCTCAGGTATTCATTCCACCTCAGCCTTCCAAGTAGCTGGAACCACAGGAACACGCCACCATGCCTGGCTAATTTTTTAGTTTTTCTTTTTTTTGAGTTATAGTCTCACTCTGCCGCCCAGACTGGAGTGCAGTGGCGCGCTCATGGCCACCGCAGCCTCAACCTGCTAGGCTTAGGCGATCCTTCTGCCTCAGCCTTCCAAGTAGCTGCTACAGGTGTATGCCACCATGCCCAGCTAATTTTTCCTGATTTATTGTAAAGATGAGGTCTCACCAAGTTGCCCGGGCTTGTCTCGAACCCCTGAGCTCAGGCAATCCTCTTGCCTCCACCTCCCAAAGCGCTGGGATTACAGGCATGAGCCACCATACCCAGTCAAAATGCCTTTTATCTTAATATGAATGACAGCTATCATGATCCATGACATATAAAAATCCTAGGTGCACTTAGTATTTGTGTACTTTACCTCAACTTCAAAAACAGAAAAAAATACTAACAGATTGAAAGTCAAAAGACTTCATCAGTGACTATATGACAGGTAAAGAATGGCAGTCAAATAAATGCCACTTTTGTCATCTGGATGATGGGCTGGCTGGTAATAACACTCTAGGGGAAATAAAGAAGGCTAGCGGGGCTAAAAATAACAACTTTCCCTTTGGATTCGCAGAGTGTAAAAGGGGCCTTTGGATGAGCTATACAGAGATATCCAGCAAAGTTGGTTATTAGAGACTAAGGTAGAAGAGAGGTCTGGGCCAGAACCAAACATCTCAACAAATGGTACATCTCCAGAGGAGAGAAGAGATGAATCAGCAAGACCAGGAAAGTGAGGACAATAAGAGATCAAGAGTGGACACCTTGAGAGCAACAATAATAAGAGGCAAGAAGAGGAAGATGATCCCATGGAGAGGACAGAAAAGAGATCATCACAGAGGGAGGAACAGATCAGAAAGCAACCAAGATATTCTAGAAGATGGGCATGAGGATCAACTGAATAGAATGCTCAATTAAGGCAAGCACTAAGGTAGCCATGACATTTGCCATAGTAAAGTCATGGTGTTCCTTACCAGACAGATCCAGTAAGTCATGTGGTTCAAAACAAAAAAAGGGAAATGGGGAGACATTTGCTAGAAAATAAAACTTTATCTGCTGTTACTTAAGGAGTTTATCTGAAGGTGATATAATCCATTCTTGCAGATATCCAGGTTCTATGCCTTAGTCAAGCAGGACCATTAGAAAGAGGACTGAGATGTTTTAGTCCCTAGAAACATGTAATGACTGACTACTCAACTGGCACAAAGAACTCTGCTTCCCTAAGGAGCATTCACAAGCAGCAGGCTGCACTGATTTCTGGTCCTGAAGATTGCTTACTATGTTATCTACAGAAAGACCAGGGAAAAAATGCTTTTTAGACTTCAGGGCCAAGAACTCTTCATGTCTCACAAAGAATTCTTGATTATTTCTTTTAATGGCCAAGGTAAACCATGTAAGGAGAATAAACACCACTCTTTTGCTATGACCATCAGAAAGATCAAACAAATTTTCTGTAAGATCACAGACCAGCTGGGTGTGATGGCTCATGTCTATAATACCGGCATTTTGGGAGGTGGAAGCCTAAGGATTGCATGAGCTCAGGGGTTTGAGACCAGCCTGAGCAATATGGTGAGACCTCATCTCTACAATCAATTAAAAAATTAGCCGGGCAATGCGGTACACGCATGTGGTTTCAGCTACGTGGAAGGCTGAGGCGGAAGAATCACCTCACGTGAGTCCAACAGGTCTAGGCTGCAGTGGCCATGAGTGTGCCACTACACTTCAGCATGGGCAACAGATGGAGATTCTGACCAAAAAAAAAAAGCCAGGCATGGCGGTTCATGCCTATAATCACAGCACTGTGTGGGAGGCAGAGGCAAGAGAACTGCCTGAGTCCAGGTGGTCAAGAGCAGCCTGGGCAACATGGTGAGACTACATCTCTACAATACATTTTTAAAAATTGAGCCGGGCTCGGTGGCTCAGCCTGTAATCCCACGCCTTTGGGAGGCTGAGGTGAGTGGATTGCCTGAGCCCGCGGGTTCGAGACCCGCCTGGGCCGCGAGACCTCGTCTCTACAATAAATCAAATATCAGCCAGGTGTGGTAGCGCGTGCCTTTAATTCTGGCTACTTGGAAGGCTGAGGCGGAAGGATCGCCGGAGCCCAATGGGTTGAGGCTGCAGTGGCCGGCAGCGACCACTGCACTCCAGTCTGGGTGACAGAGTGAGACTCCAACTCAAATAAATAAATAATATTTAAAAATTAGTTGGGTGCATGCCTATAGTTCCAGCTACCTGGAAGGCCGAGGCGGAAGGCTCTCCAGAGCCCAGCAGGTCGAGGCTGTGATGGCCGGGAGCATGCCACTGCACTCCAGCCTGGGCGACAGAGTAAGACCCGGCTTAAAAAAAACAAAAAATCACAGAACCTACATACTTCTGCATACCACTTTGGCCTGATATTGATGTGTTCTGGCATATTTTCCCTGAAGTTGATTTTCATCTATTTCTACATTTTCATTCTAACCTAAGACATTGTAAACAAAGTAGGGAACAAAAAATAAACAACTCACCTGAGATGTGTTCATATTCTGCTGCTCTAGGAAACACTTAGAGAACTAGAAAGGTGGAGCTGGGGGAGAAGAAAGAAAGAATGGATCTCAAGACATCTGAACTGTACCTCCTGGGTTCTCTTGTCTATAAAGTTCTACACATCAACTGGATAAAATGTCCTCCTGTAGAAGAATGCCTTTGGGTCCTTAATTATCTTGGCAATTGTTGCTCTGTCTTTTGATAGAAGCAAGTTTTGACTTAACTATGTCAGAAATTCTGACTACTGGTCAGGATACTGATGAATGGGATGGCCTGGACATCCACCATCCAGAGCTCAGTGGTTTTCATATTTCACATTAAGCAGAAATTGGAAATCCAGGAAGCTCTTCCTGGCACTATTTTCTGATTCCGAACATCAGGATGGAGAAAGCACCCACATATCTCAAGGCCACCTGTGGTAAGGGGAATGGTGTAAGGGCCCCTCAGGATCAGGAAAAAGTGAAGAACTTGAAAAAAATCAAAAGCTGTCATGGGGGTGGCGGGGGGGGGGGGGGGGTTAAGATAAAATTTTCTTAGTGGTCGGTGGTATTTCTTTTCCCCAGACCAGGCTCTCTCAAACCTGCAGATGAAGTGGCATTTCCTGAGCAGAGCTGCCCCTTCCCTTAGCCCCAGCTGGCACAACCCTCCCGCTGAGTCACGGTTTGGGGTGGCTTGCGGAACACGAGAATCACATACTGCTTGTTTCTAGCCGTGCAAATCTAGGCTCTGCTCTTTCTCAGCCTTGTCCTCCTCTGCTCCAAAGCTCTGGTGAGAGGTCTCCATTCAGGTGGGCCATCCTCCAGATGAGTTTTCTTTTTACCTCACAAGAGCAGCTTTGTTTTTAGGAACCAGGATCTGGGCCTATGAGACAAAATCAGTTTAGCTGGAACTTACAACAGGGCCCCAAGTCATGGAACTCCCTGAATCCCAGAATTTCGGATGGGTCCTTCAAGAAGCCCAATCAGGACTACACAATGGCTGGATCGTTCAAACCAGCCCCATTATGAAATGTGCCACAAGGGCCATGAAGAGATACAAGCCCTCAACAAGTGCGCAGGATAAAACTCGGTCCACATGATACTTAACACCGACGTCCTGCGTTCAGGGCTGCAGCAGTACAACGCTGGACTTCGGCAAACTGGATTTTTAGGAAGCGGACAGAACAGCGTGGCCCACGCGGCCCACAGCCCGGGCAGTGTAAGAGCGCGGCGACACCCACCTCCCTCCGGGTGCGCGAGGAGTCCCCGCAGTCCCCACTAGGGCGCGCAGCGGCATCGGCGCGAGGGCCGCAAACACCGCCGCGGCTGCTCGCGGGAGAGCTGCCCCCGCCCGCCGCCCGCCGCCCGCCGCCCGCCGCCCGCCTCCC